ACACACTTCAAATAATTCTCTCTTCGATCTGGTCAAAGGTAGAATATCAATGTCGGGATTAAGATATTCATAAATAATAAATTTTTCTTGACTTTATCCTAAAAAATTATCAAAATTCAAATTCAAAATGTCCGAAAATGTTCAAGTCCTACCTCTTGACAAACCCTGGTGCTTATAACAAATGTCATTTATCAGAGTTAAAACAAAGAAGGCAAGACTACATGGAAGCAATATAAGGAGCTTTTTCCCAAATCTAGCCTCCCCATCACTTTATTCAAAAATTCAATTTCTTTTAAAGTTATTTTTCAAATTCAGTCTCTTTTTTAAAACGTCATTTCAAATGATGCCTTAATGGTATAAAACGTCATTTAAAAGGACACATTTAAAAACATTATTTTAAATGACGTTTTTAAGTTATTATTTTAAACAGTTTGGTAACGACATTAAATGACATTGAAAATTAATAAAACGTTATTTGAAACGACAACTCTAAAGACGTCATTCTAAATGATGATTTACGCTAAATAATTTAAGTCAGATTTTCAAAAAAACAATTCCCAAATCGCAACAGGTCAATCGAGCTCTCCTCCTCCCTCTCTCAGATCCCTTTCTCAAATCAGATCCCAAATCACAGGTCACTAGAGCTCTCCTCCTCCCTCTCTTAGATCGAGCTTTCCTCATCCTCTAACCACTGTCACCGTGTTCTCCGACAACGAAGATTGATCTCTTCTCCGCCTCCAACCACTCACCCACCATTGTATCCGAAGAGGAAGACCAGTTCGACGAATTTGATATGCGCACCAAATTTTAATGAATATAAAACATATGTTAGTTCGAATGCTACATTAAAACTAATTTATGACATTCGTGGTGCATTATAGAAAAAATAATCTTTCAAGGTGCAAAATAAAAATTGAAACTTTTTTCATTCGACTTTCATCATACAACACGTAAGTCTTAGAATTGTCCGAACTTAATCCAAAACAGACAACATCGTACGGGTCTGAAAAATTATAAAAACAAGAAAAAAATTGTAACATTAGTATTGCGTTTTATGCAGACCAAAAATTAATCTACTTCTTCTCTTTAACTTGATATATGCAGGGAGACAATTGAAGAGCGTGAAGCACCGGGTTGCTGGAATTGATAAGGAAAATTTGACCTACAGTTACAGCATAATCGAAGGCGATGCTTTGATGGGTCTTGAATCAGTCTCTTATATGGTCTAATTGAGCCTTCCGCTGATGGAGGATCCATCGGCAAAACCAGCAGCACATACACAACAAAGGTGATGCCCAGATCGAAGAAAGAGAAATTAAGGATGGGAAAGAGAAGGCCATGGGAATGTTCAAGGCTGTTGAGGCCTACCTCTTGGCAAACCCTGATGCTTATAGCTAATTCCATTGCATTTGCCACCAAATATATATGTATGCTGAGATATATAGTGTCATGAGTGTGCCTTTGTTTCATCAATTAGAAGTGTGGCTTCATGTGTTTTTTTCCCCCCTCTGCTTTAAGCTTTGATAAATAAGTTTATCCCAGTTGTGATCCTGAAGTTGTTTGCTTCAAGAGTCTGTATTTATGATAATAAATATGCAGAAAATCATTTGAAACAAATTTCTTGTGAATGATGGTGGTGGGGGTCTGTGAACTTGAAAATTGAGAATGTAACTCCATTTGCTGATCACCATGTCTATTTGCTGTCATCTGCAATTGCATTTGAAACATGTAGTATTGAAAAGGGTTTCAAACCACTACAGAAGGCTTCTTGTATATAACAGTTATAGATAAGTAGTAGGTAGTTTTATCCCCATTTGGGAGATGTTGATTCCCGGACTCGAACCACAACCTAAGTAATGGACATGTGTACTAGCTCCAAATAATTAATTTACTATGATGGAATTCGTCGGAGAATTAAAACCACGAGACTGTGAGCTCTATTAGTCCAATAATCATGTAGCCTAAGTCAGACTAGTCAGTATTACAATTTTATATCATAATTGACTAATTTATATGCCAGCGATAGACATATACCCAAAATCGTTAGCATTGAAATATGAATCTGCCATGAAAATGACCTTCTTCCTGAATTACAATCCAGTCTAGGTTTGTAGCTCCTTTGAATGTAAGAGAATATTCCTGTGATAGACAAGAACAGAAACAAGAAAAATCAACCTTAGTAACCATTATTATAACAGGGGCAAGTCAGATTGTTTAGTAGATTGTGTTTGTCAAGCAAATCCTTGACTTAGAGCAAGTCAAGTCAAGGGTACAAATGAGAATAATGAAAAATATGGTGAAGAATAGACAGAAAATAATAAAGATCTTCACTTTGGATTGGTGAAAATTGGCATGAAAGTCAGAAGTCCTGCCAATTTCATAGACTGTTAGAAGATTTATTTAGAGAATTGATTAGTCTCACATATTTTTGGGTACTGAAGAATCGTCTCAACCACAAGTCCTTTTGGACTCACTGTAACTTAAACTCGAATTCACGTAACCACCGACTTTGAAACCCCATGCCAGCAGAATGCAAGTCTGTAAGTAACAAACATCAATGACTTCAGGGGCTCAAATCAGCCATTTATTTTTCCAGCCTCTGTTTGAGCTCCATCATTAATGCTTAGATGTAAGGAACTTGTAAGAGAGACTCTGGATACTGCAAAGATTGGGATTGGGATTATGTTGGGCTAGCATTATAAAGTACCACAACAACATTTTCGGCTATTTAGAAGGCCAGTTTTTTTTTTTTTCTATTGTCTAGATGCTTCTTCAATTTATTTCTTGTCATGTACAATCAGCCTTGCCTATATGAATGTCTTAAATTGATGCATTCAGGGACCATTGCTGTAGGGTGGTGGTGGTTGCTACCGTATACAGTAGCTGATTGTAGTGGTGGTGTTAAGGTGACAACAAAAAAAAATGCCAAAATGTAGACTTCTGGACATGACATCTCAGAAGGATAGATCAAGTGTTTGGGCCTCACTAATTGTAAGTGATTGTGTATATCCGAGATTTGCATTGCAACCATGGGTCCAAATGATACGTGGTTGGGAAGAATTAAATGTGGCAGCCTTCAGAATTTTTATTCTACCTCTATTCTTAACTTGTGATTTTATTATATTTTTGAAATATGTTAAAAAAACTTAAATAATTGACTTGTAACCACATCATCAAATCAAGTTTTGAAGTTGGTTTTTTGAGTCTATGTAACATTGCTCTTATTTTTTTTTACTGTTTTCGCATTGAAAAATGCTAAATAGATTTAAAAATTTGACTTGATGAATTATTATCATTGAATATGTAGTCGGTCTCAAAAAAATTGGGACCCACAGTTAAATAAATGACAAATATAATAATTACGTCATTAAGTTAAGTTTTTAAATTGAGCAATGCTATAAAATCCAAATAAAACTCAAAAAAGTATAACTCAAATACATATCATCCATTAGATGAATAGATTCCATTAATTTTTTTAATAAAGTCCATTCATCTCGTATTCATTCAAAAGATGATATAGATTTGAATTTAAATTTTTAAAATTTATTTGAATTATATAACATCTTTTTTTTTAAATCTTTCTAGGCTGCATTGTATGTGGCACATAGTACAATACAGGTGTTAATGCCATCACTTCCTTTACATTGTTGGTTGTAGCAGGTATGGTTGCCCAACGTCCTCATTAAAGAATGGCAGCAAAAGTATACCAAAACTTGTACCATTTCCTGTTAAAACTACCGCCCCATACTCGATTTTTCACACTTTTCTAGATTCCCATTCGGTAATTTCACTAATAGAGAGATAAAATAACGTACATGTGACCATGGATGCTGCACCGAAAAAATAAAAGATGTCCTTTAATACAAGAAGCTACAGAGACTTGACACAGTCTACTTTATGATCTATAAATGGCACCAGTGATGTTCACTATCTTCCACACTCCAAAAGCATATCCTCCATTCCCTTTGAGCTATTTTGCTTTCTTCTTTCTCCAATTCATTTCTGAGATTTTAAGGATATCCATCATGGGTGTTGTCACTTTAACCGAGGACTTCACGAGCACCATTCCAGCCTCCAGGCTTTTCAAGGCCATTGTTCTTGATGCTGACAACCTCATGCCCAAGATTGCTCCTCAGGCAATCAAAAACATAGAGATCATTGAAGGCAATGGAGGGCCTGGAACCATCAAGCAAATGAACTTCCCTGAAGGCTTGCCACTTTTACTTGAAAATTGTCATCGGTTCCATGTAGCCCAGGATCAAAATTTCATTGAAATGAATTATCGATTGAAAATCAAAATTACCCGTGTTTTGGACGTTTCGGATTTGAAATTCTATACTTTTTTGTGATTTCGAAATGTTTCTGTTTTCGAACTGATCGATACTATGCATCATAATGAAATTTTGATCCTTGAACAAGTCATTCATAATGTGACAGTGTTTAACTTGTTTTCTCCTCTATGTGTATGCAGGAAGTCCTTTCAAATTTGTGAAGCATAGGATTGATGCATTGGACAAGGAAAATATGACATATGCTTATACATTGATCGAAGGTGATGCTTTGATGGACAAACTCGAGTCGATTTCCTATGAGATCAAGTTCGAGTCCTCGCCCGATGGAGGATGCATTGGGAAGAACATTAGCAAGTACCACACAAAACCAGAGGTTGAAATCAAAGAAGAGGAAGTGAAGGCTGGTAAGGAACAGGCTGCTGCTGTGTTCAAGGGTGTGGAAGCCTATCTCTTGGCAAACCCTGATGCATATGCTTGAATGTTGCCTTCATGAGACACTCTACACTCTCGTCATATCTCTCATTCCATGTTGTCTTGCTGTCTTGTGCTTTTGTGTTCTCTCTCCAACCAAATGTACCAATTTGGGTTGATAATAATAAAAAAAATAAAGAGTTGTTTGTGAAGTTTGATGTGTATGAAGAGGTAATTTTGATCTACAGGAGTGATAATTTAGTCCCATTTCTTGTGCTTCTTGATTATATCAGCAATATGGATGGTATTTCAACCAATTAGTCAGTTCTGATCTAGATATTTGTACTGGACAGAGCTGCTTTGCAGATGGTTGAAATTAAAAAGATGAAAGATCGTGCTTAGTGAGCGTGCAATGCTGCAAAATTAAAGAATTCTCACTTTGCACTTTAAAAGATGAAAATTTTTACACCTCGACGTATTAAAAATGTTGTAATGTGACATTTCTGTTTCTCATTCCATCGGCGTCAATAAAGTGGGTTTTTGACGGAACAACATTTTTAGTACATTGAAAGTGTAATATGAGAAATCTTATCTTTTAGAGTATAAAATAAAAAAATTCAAATCCTTCAGAGTTGCCAGGTGAGATTCAAAATGTCAAAAAGAGTCCATAAGGCTTACAGTTTCCCCTAGCCTTCTTGTGGCTTTCAACATCACCAACCCCTCCTCTAACAACTTCACCTAATCACAAATGATAATATCACCAATGATCCAAAACGTCAAACAAAAATGTTGCGGCTATCCGACATTTTCCGGAATGAAATTTTGATCATTGAACGGAACAAGAATCCCATAATGGATAAATTTAAAGACTACAATTTCCATTTGATTCTAGGGGCAGAGAACTTACAATGGTTTAGTCATACTTAAGATACAATCCTGAAAGTTGGTAAATATATTTTCCTCAGGTAATAATGTGTCAATATTTTCTACCCTTTCCCTTTTGTTTTATTCATGTTTGAGCAAATGTTTGGCATATAGCATATGCATGTCTTTAAGTGGAGAAAACCTTATTACTGTTCTTTGCACTTGTGTTTATCATATCATTAGCTTTTCTACCTTATAATGGTCTTAGGGAGAGGCCATATGGATTATAACTATTCACCTTAGCATAATTACATCATACTTGGGACAATGATGCCTTTCAGTGCTAAGGTTCTCTGTATTACAAGACATATAGATTGTACAAGCAGAGTAAAACATAGCCTTAGTATTTTCTAAGGGCATGAACCAATCAAAAACAATTTTCGAAAAAGAATAATCCCTTATTTCACACTATATATACACCCTCTCACCATAAGCCCCATCCATAGAATTCCCTCTTCTTCACCCTTGCTCTAGTTTGCATTCAGGACTCCCGAAGGCATGGGTATCATCACGATAACTGAGGAGTACACATCCCCAATCCCTCCTGCCAGGTTATTCAAGGCCTTGTTCCTCAACGCTGACAATTTTCTCCCAAAACTCTTGCCGCAAGTCCTTAAGAGCATTGAACTTGTCCAAGGAGATGGAGGGGCCGGCAGTGTCAAGCAAATGAACTTTGCGGAAGGTAGGAAGGCAGCTTACATTAACCAGGAAATTTCACAAGTATTCAATAAGTAAATGCTATATATCCAGTTTTTTTTTTCGATAAAAAATCTTTCCAAAAAAAGAAGATATACAACATAACTCAATACACGGACCAAGGGAACTCGACAGACATTGCCTCCCTAATGGTAACTAGTATCTTCTCATGTCCAAGAGGTTAGGATAAAATAAGGCCCAGCTAAAAAAACAGTTTTCTACCAATTTTTCTTTCAAAACAATGACTGCTGCAATTGTTTTCCCATGCAGGAATCGGTTTAGGCCCTTTGAAGCACAGAATCGATGAGATCAATGAAGAGACTTTTGTGTACCACTACACATTGATTGAAGGTGAGGACTTGCTGGGTAAGCTTGAAAAGGTTTCTCATGAAACTAAGTTTGAGCCTTCTCCAGATGGTGGTAGCATTTCTAAGATTACCAGCAAGTACTACACCTTGGATGATGCTGCGATTACTGAGGATGAAATCAAGGCCAGCAAGGAAAAGGCCATGGGAATGTACAAGGCAGTGGAAGGCTACCTCCTCCAAAATCCTGATGCTTATGCTTAAGTCTGGTTTGTAGTTTTTCAGGTCTCTTTGATATGGTGCAATGTGTCCTTTGATTTTTGTCCGTTGGAGTTACCTTTGCAGTCTTAATAAAATCTTACACTGCTCATGATCACGAGTCCTAGTGGAAGCATTTCGGACTCCCGGTGTGTCAACAGGGGAAAAAAAATTAGAAAACTTTGCTTATAATATTGGACAAGGTTTATCATCATAACTGTTATACCAAGCTACATCATCTAAGAATCGTTTTGCAGAAGATTTGTATTGAAAAAAAAAAGGAGATTAGCAGAGGATTTCAAACAAAGTGCATTTAAATGATTCGAGAAAAATGATCAGACTTATTGAGCAGATGAGGCTTACAAAGAGCTAGAACAATCAATATTGTGCAATTTTGAGGCTTAGGGTTTGTTCTGGGAAAGAATATCTACCATTTTCCCTGCTATACATTTCACATGCCTTAATTACATTAGGGGTGAAAATCTTACATGATAGCATGACACGAACTCGATGGAAAGGAACAAGCCATAACATTTGGTTTTGCTAGGATGCTTCTTGGCAGAAATTCTAATACTAGCCCCACTTATTGTGCTTGAATATATGAACAATATGGTTTCACAATCAACTAATCAGTTCTGATCTGGACCGCTTTTCTGATTCTAATTGAAAAGATAAAGATAGAGTATTTTGCACGAATAAAAATATGTACACTCCTAAAGAGCTAATAATGTATGATCACCTCTATCTTTTGAGTTTTAGAAACTTTCAGGGTCTTTAGATAATTTCTAAACACATGATCTACCAATATGGCGTAATTTTATAATCTCTAAAACAATCTCATAATTGTTCGGGGTCAATGTACAGTTTTAGAAACATTTCCTAACTATTAAAAATATTGATTTAGTGTTTAGATAATATTTTATGATCTTTTAGGGTCATTGTGTAATTTCAACAGGTATTTATCTGTTACTTCTAAAAACACAAAAAGGGACTTTCTGTCACTTAACAAAACCTTGTACTTAATTTTATAATTTCAATAACTAAGTATATGTTGTAGCTAAAACCAAAAGGGGTAGTTTTTGAATTTAAGTCATCATCTCCATCTACGCCCAATACTGCTCTTCTTCTTCTTCTTCTTCTTCTTTTCATCTTCTTCTACCTGATTTCATCTCTTAAAATTATTTTTATTAATTTCTTTAGGAGATACAAAACTCATTTGAGAGACCTACACATTTAAATAAGTATATAACATACCCACATATACACCAATATATGTGTAATTCCATCATGCATAAACCCACATGTTTTATATGTATACATACTCTACAATCAATAGATCAAGGAAGACAACAAGATAGTTCTAATCTTATCTTTATACTTGGATTGATCTTCCCAAGAGCTTTAGCACCTCAACAATGGTGGATGACCTCTGTGTGTGTGTGTGTGTGTTTAACTTCCAAGACTAAGGCTGCCCGATTTTTTTCTCCCCCCCTTTCATTTGTTTTGCCTGTATTTATACATTGAGGAGAAGTGGCTTCAGTCTTCAGTCAAAGTAGTGATCTATGGTCATGGGCGACAATGACAGGCAATTAAACTTCCTTGTCTTCCTAAAATGGTTAATGTCAACTAAATAGTCATGGCAGGCTGTCATGGCTGCGCTATTCATCATCATTTTTATTTTTGTTATTATTATTTTAATTCATTTAATTTTGTTTAACTAATTTAATTTAAGCTAATTTGTCCTCGGTACTAAACATAGTCAATATCATACTAGTCGGACTCGTTTTCATGAGAGGANCATCATCATTTTTATTTTTTTTATTATTATTTTAATTCATTTAATTTCGTTTAACTAATTTAATTTAAGCTAATTTGTCCTCGGTACTAAACATAGTCAATATCATACTAGTCGGACTCGTTTTCATGAGAGGAATTCAACAATGAAGTCCATTTCTTCATCCAAGTTTTCTATTAAAAGTAAAAATTTTGATAACTCAATAGATATAATTATAAATAGCGGGTTTTCACATTCTACCCTTAAAATAATTTTGTCCTCAAAATTAAATTCTAACATAACTAATTTAAGAAAATATACCTCCATCCTTAAACAAGTGTGGGTAATGTCCCGCATTGTTGCTTCATGCTCCCAGGTTGCTTCTTTGATTCCTCGTTGTCTCCACAAGACTTTGACAAGGGGTATAGTCTTGTTTTGTAGGACTTGTTCTCTTCTATCTAAGATCTGTATTGGCTTCTCCTCATAGGTGGCATCCACTTCAATCTCCATCTCACCCCAATCAACCACATGTGAAGGATCTGACTCATATTTTCTCAACATAGAGACATAAAATACATTGTGCACCCTTTCTAACTGTGGCGGCAAAGCCAATCGGTATGCAACCGCACCGACCTTTTCAAGAATCTCAAATGGTCTGATAAATCGAGGGGACAACTTTCCCTTCTTCTCAAACCTCATAAGACCTCTACGAGGCATCATTTTCAGAAACACGTGATCCCCAACCTCAAATACTAAGGGTCTCCTCCGTTGATCTGCATAACTTTTTTGGCGACTCTGTGCTGCAAAAAGTGTCTGTCTAATTAGACCCTCTTTCTCGGTGGTCTCCCTAACTAACTCTGGACCAAATAATGGACCCTCCCCAACTTCGGCCCAACATAAGGGTGATCGACACGACCTACCATACAGTGTCTCATAAGGTGTCATCTCTATGCTAGAATGATAGATGTTGTTGTAGGCGAACTTAATCAAAAGGATATGATCTTCCCAACTACCACCGAAATCTAGTATACTTGCTCTCAACATGTCTTCAAGAGTTTGGATTACTCTTTCAGATTGACCATCTGTCTGCGGGTAAAACGTTGTATTGAATATCAATCGAGTACCCAAAGCATCCTGAAAACTCTGCCAAAACTGTGCTATAAACCTTGGATCTCTGTCGGACACTATCGACACCGATACTCTATGAAGCCTAACTATCTCTCTGATTTATAATCGACTGAGTGCGTCCAAGGTGTCTGTCATTCAAACTGGCAAAAAAAGTGCTGACTTGGTCAGTCGGTCCACCACCACCCACACTAAATCGTGTCTTCTAGTAGATTTTGGTAAACCAGTCACAAAGTCCATAGTCACATGTTCCCATTTCCACTCAGCAATAGGTAGGGGCTGAAGTAACCATGTTAGTCTTTGATGCTCAGCTTTTACTTGTTGGTAGATAAGGCATCTAGCCACATAGCATGCCACATCCCTTTTCATCCCACTCCACCAATACTCGTGACGAAAATCTTGATACATCTTTGTGCCTCCTGGATGTACTGCTATCTTGGAATGATGAAACTCCCTAAGCACCTCATCTTTCAATGACTCGTTATTGGGTACAAAAACCCTGTCTCGAAATCTCAAGCTCCCGTCTGAGTGTATGGCCCAACCATCCATTCTTGTGCCACTGTGGACTCAAGAACGGATAGAGATTGTCTCTGAATCCTGACCTTGTGCTTCTATCACCTGACTAAGGAGCGCTGGTGTGGCCACCAAATTATAGAGACAAGTACGGTCACTCTACTTATCCAACTGTAACCCAAATTGACTAACAATCTCCATCATCTGTCATTCTTTTGATGCTATGCGAGCAACTATCCCCCTGTGACTTCCTACTTAAAGCATCAGCTACCACGTTTATCTTACCAGAGTGATAAAGCCAAGTGAAATCATAATCCTCAATATATTCTATCCAACACCTCTATCTCATGTTAAGGTCTCTCCGAGTAAAGATATACTTCAAACTCTTACGGTCTGAATACACCTCGAACTTTTCACCATATAGATAATGTCGTCATGTCTTTAGAGCAAAGACAACAGCTGCTAACTCTAAGTCATGGGTGGGATAATTTTGTTCATGCGTTTTCAACTGACGAGAACAATATGCAACTACCTTGTTAGTCTACATCAACACGCATCCTAGACCTTCTTTCGAGGCATCACAATACACAACATAACCTAGTCTTCACTCTGGTATCACCAAGATAGGTGCACTAGTCAACCTTTCCTTTAATTTACAAAAATTCTGCTCACAAATGTCATCCCACTGAAACTTCACTCCTTTCCTAGTCAATCTTGTCATCGGGGCTGCCAGCCGTGAGAAATCCTCAATAAATCTTCGATAATATCCAGTCAATCCCAAGAAACTCTGAATCTCATAAACTGACTTCGGTCTCTCCCACTTTATCACTACCTCAACCTTCGATAGGTCTACTGATACTCCAGATTCCGATACCATGTGTCCTAAGAATTTCACCCCAGATAACCAAAAGTCACACTTGCTTGCTTTGGCATATAAATGGTGATCTCTTAGTATCTGGAGTACAATCCTCAAGTGTCGCTCATGGTCCGATTCGGTCCGTGAGTATACAAGAACATCATCCACAAATACCACAACAAACTGATCNGTGATCCCCAACCTCAAATACTAAGGGTCTCCTCCGTTGATCTGCATAACTTTTTTGGCGACTCTGTGCTGCAAAAAGTGTCTGTCTAATTAGACCCTCTTTCTCGGTGGTCTCCCTAACTAACTCTGGACCAAATAATGGACCCTCCCCAACTTCGGCCCAACATAAGGGTGATCGACACGACCTACCATACAGTGTCTCATAAGGTGTCATCTCTATGCTAGAATGATAGATGTTGTTGTAGGCGAACTTAATCAAAAGGATATGATCTTCCCAACTACCANGACATCACTACAAACTCATAATGCCCATATCGAGTTCTGAAGGTAGTCTTGGGTATGTCTTCATCTTTTATCATCAATTGGTGATACCCGGTCTGAAGATCAATCTTCAAAAAATAACGAGATCCTCTCAACTAGTCGAATAAGTCATCTATCCTGGGCAAAGGGTACTTGTTCTTGATAGTCACTCGATTTAACTACTTGTAGTCAATACACAACCTCAAGCTTCCATCATTTTTCTTGGAAAATAGTGTTAGCGCTCCCCACGGGGAGGTACTCAGCCGTATAAATCCTTTATCTAATGGATCCTGGAGTTGCAACTTCAATTCATGAAGTTCAGCAGGTGCCATCCTATAAGGTGTCATAGTAACTGGTGCAGTGCCTGGTTTCAATTCAATTGAAAAATCAACATCCCTTCTAGGAGGTAGTCCAAGTAGCTCATCCGAAAAAACGTTGGAGTACTCGTATACAACTCGAGGAAGATCCAACTCCTTTCTATCATCATCACTGATTACCAAACTAGCTAACCAACCCATCAATTGGTAATGCCAGTGCGAATCTCGCAGATATGGAGGCAATTTTGCTTGTCTATCCCCATAAAATTGAAAACAAACACCCTCTGTGGTATAAGCTGTCACTTTTTTTATGACAATCAATTGTGACACGATGAGCCGATAACCAATCCATTCCTAGAACGATGTCAAACTCTACCATTTCCATAACCCCTAGGTCCACTGTTAGTTAAAGACCCAAGATCTCTAACTCACAAGATCGGCAAATATGATCTATTCGAATTCTACCACCCAAGGGCAAGTCAATGCATAGTGATGTCTCTAAGGGCTTCGACTCTAAGCCCAATGCAGATGCACATGCCGTAGATATAAATGAGTGAGATGCACCCGAATCAAACAACACACTAACCCAAGAACTATATAACAGAAAATTACCTTGGATTATTGAATGATCAACGAACTCCTCTTGTTGAGTCAATGCAAAGACCTTACCCTGTGTATGCTGACTATGTCCACCGCTTCCCTTGCCTTGATTTTGCCTCATAGGTTGCTAGGATCCAAACGGGGCAGTAGAGGCATATGATGTATGTCCCATCATCGAGATAGTTTGTGCATACTTCTGGGGTTAAGCCTATTGTGGATAAGATGGTTGCATATTTTGTTATGGTCTAGCAACATTTTGAAAGGGTCCTCGTTGTGGAGAGTCTTGCTTGTAGTGTCCCACATGTCTGTACTCATAACATACTCCTTGCCCTTGAACAAACTTCCCCTTCTTTTGGTGCTTTTGTTGAAATGATTGATGACTCTGTGCCTGACAACCCTAAGATGTTGGTGTTGAAGTTCTTTGTATCTTACCGGAGCCACCTCAGAAACGTGAATCTCTAGATCGTGAATTAGACTCTCTAATTTTCCTAGTGTCGTCCAACTCCCTTTCAGCAACTAGTGCCGCCTCAACCACTTTGGCATATGTTGGGAGGCTTAAGACCATTACACGGCCTCTAATGGCAGGCCTGAGCCCCCATTCAAACCTCCTAGCTCTATTATCCTCATCTGGCACTATTGTGCTAGCATGTCTAGCTAGTTTAGCAAACTGAGCCCCATATTGCATTTCAATGAGATCTCCTTGACGCAATCCTAAGAATTTCAACACCTTCGCTCCCTTAATCACTTTGGAAAAATAATTATCCATAAACACGTCATGAAACTATTTCCACGTCATCTTCTTAACATCCTTGGTTTCCTTAATCATATTCCACCAATGATCTACCTTACCCTCCAATTGGAAGGCAGCTAATGTAACTTTGGTTGCATTAGATCTAATCCCCATGGCGTCAAGGATCTTCTCAATCTGTCTAATCCAGTTCTCTACCACGATCGGATCAGGCTCAGTGTTGAACACTGGAGGGTTTTGCCTCCAGAACTCCTTTAGTGCGGTCATGGAGTTCATCCCACTACCTTCACTCTGAGACATAACTCCAGCAATTTCTCGCATGGTCAGCATCAGGTCAGCATCATCAGTGCCTTGCGAAGAGGAGGTTATTGCACCGCCACTAGTCCTATTTCTCCTCATGGTCTAATCAAAATCCAGAAAGACGATAAAACCTAGCATTAGAATAATAATAATAATAATAATAATAATCATAGCCAGTCTCTAATTACATCTAGAATACGCGTATTTGATATGGCTAAGATTTCCCCCAAGGTTCCTTGACGCCCCAATTTTTCCAGGGTAATTTAGTATATTTTATTTGATTTATAAGACAAATATACAAAATTCATCAAATGAATTGAAGTTCACATACTGGTTTAAACTAGACAATCAGAGCATCTAATGTACTTTCAAGTAACTTAGGTACAAAGAATTTGTAATTTGGGCATTCATTTAATATCATAGTCTAAGTACTCAAATTATACATTTATTCCAAAAGAAGTCCTTAATCGACACTATTACATTCCGTCGATTTGAAAACACATCAATGCAACAAAACACAAGTCATAAATCTAGAATTTGCTCGAGTGTTAACATGAAATATAATATCTCGTTAGCCAACTGAGCACAGATATTTAAGATAGCTCTGGGAAGAAATTTCTGTCATCTCTTGATCTATTCCTTGCAAAAATGTTAGGGTAAGTCAATTCCCGGTAGGAAAACAACTATCGAGTGTTAATCCCATTCCACATGACATAGGTATACATGAAATTCTCAAATAATATTCATGACAAGTAAATATAGCAATATTAAGCTCATAATGTGCTTAAAGTAGTGCATATGATGTACCAACAAATAGAAATCATTCTATTTAGCAAGTATTACCTATTCGTGTCATGGGTCACTCTAGACTTTCAATCTTAGTCTATGGATATTTACACCGTCATTGTATAATTTTCAATAGGTACTTATATGTTACTCCTGAAAACACAAAAGGGGACTTTCTGTCACTTAACAAAACCTTGGACTTAATTTTATAATTTCAATAAATAAGTATATGTTGTAGCTAAAACCAAAAGGGGTAGTTTCTGAATTTAAGTCATCATCCCCATCTTCTTCCATCTATGCTCAGTATTGCTCTTCTTCTTCTTCTTTTTCTTTTTTCCCATCTTCTTCTGCCTGATTTCATCTCTTAAAATTATTTTTGTTAATTTCTTTAGGAGATACAAAACCCATTTGAGAGACCTACACATTAAAATAAGTATATAACATACCCACATATACATCAATATATGTGTAATTCCATCATGCATAAACCCACATGTTTCATATATATATATATATATATACTCTACAATCAATAGATCAAGGAAGACAACAAGATAGTTCTAATCCTACCTTTATACTTGGATTGATCTTCCCAAGAGCTTTAGCACCTCAACAATGGTGGATGACCTCTGTGTGTGTGTTTAATTTCCAAGACCAAGGTTGCCCGATTTCTTTCTCCCCCCCCCCCCTTTTCATTTGTTTTGCATGTATTTATACACTAAGGAGGAGTGACTTCAGTCTTCAATCAAAGTAGTGATATATGGCCATGGGCAGCAATGACAGGCAATTAAAATTCCTTACCTTCCTAAAATGGTTAATGTCAGCTAAATAGTCATGGCGGGCTGTCATGGCTGCGCTATTCATCATCATTGTTGTTATTATTTTAATTCATTTAATTTTGTTTAACTAATTTAATTTAAGCTAATTTGTCCTCGATACTAAACATAGTCAATATCATACTAGTCGGACTCGTTTTCATGAGAGGAATTCAACGATGAAGTTCATTTCTTCATTCAAGTTTTCTATTAAAATTAAAAATTTTGATAACTCAATAGATATAATTATAAATAGCGGGTTTTCACAGTTTGTAAGTGATTGTGGGTTATAATGAAAAAATGTTCCAAAGCTTATTCATTTTGTCACAGGTCCAAAGTCAACAATTTTTCTCACAATATAAGTCACTATTTAACTCTATATCAAGTAAAACTCATATATCACCCCGTGACAAAGATGAATTCCCCTTAGAACTCTCCATCACGTGTTGAAAGGGTAAGAACAACCAAAAAAAGAGGCCCACTGTATAATAATCAACTCCCGTGATTTATTGTTGCAGACTGGTGGCAGCATCCATACCCAAGTCACATCCAATCTTAAATCTTCTTTTCTGGCTTACAGAAAATTTATAGCATAAAAGTCTTCACCTTATGTTTCTGACTATTTGAGACCATATATAGCCTTTTTTTTCACCTGCAAACTTTCCCTTCCAAGTCTCCCTGTTCTTCTCTTTATACATCTCTCCAGTGATTCCTTCAGTGCAAAGAGAATATGGGTGTTGTCAAGACATTTCAAACATTCAAGACAAAGGTGACTCCTAATAGGATGTTCAAGGCTTTGATCCTTGATTCCCACAACCTTTGCCCACAACTCTTGTTTTCATCAATAAAAAGCATTGTGTATATCGAAGGTGACGGAGAAGTTGGAAGCATCAAACAAATGAACTTCACTGAAGGTCAGTATTTACTATCATCATTTGAATTTGGTAGAGTTTAGTTTTTATTTTAGTGCCTATTTTGTTTTAGAACACAAGTAATTAGATATTATAACAAGGAAGAAGTAAAATCTTTGTTGCTTTACTTTAAGCCTCTAAAAATCTTCTTCACTATGACCCTTGAGAAGATGAGAGGAAGCTATGCTTTATGGAAACCCTTGTGTCTCAAACTATAGACACTACTGTATATCACAAACTATATAATAATTGTTTCACTCCAACAATAGAAACTTATGATAAGCCCTAAACTTGCTAAACACTTTCAGTTGACCCTCCACCAAGCAATATCTGGAATTACCATTAAAATAAATAATCTTTCCTATCACAAGAATTAGTACTTCTTGTTATCCTTGAGACCCATTTGACATCTTTGGTTGCTATAATCTTTATAACTAGTTTTCTAAAACCACTATACAGCTACTAGTAATCAAACATTGTAATTAGCTTCGAAGGGATATTATCTCCTTTCAACTAAGACAAGGTGGATTCCTTTTGTAGAATAAGCTTTCTCAGAATCCTACCACTATTTCCCCCACCCTATCCAGATGCTGATTAATCCTTGGTGCCTCAAATACATTAGCAAGTCAATCTGGACTCCTAATGAACCACTCTATAATAGAGAAACTAGCATGCTACAATTTTCAGATATAAAAGTGCATGTCAAATCATGGTTATTGAGGGAACATATTCCTACAATAGTAACATATCTAACAGGAATTTCTCTGATCGAAAATAAAAGTAATAGCAGTATTTGTTTTGCAGCCAGTCCTTTCAGATATGTGAAGCATAGGATTGATGCGCTTGACAAAGAGAATTATACGTGCAAGTACACTTTGTTTGAAGGTGATGCGTTGATGGACAAGCTTGAATCAATATCANGTATTTGTTTTGCAGCCAGTCCTTTCAGATATGTGAAGCATAGGATTGATGCGCTTGACAATGAGAATTATACTTGCAAGTACACTTTGTTTGAAGGTGATGCGTTGATGGACAAGCTTGAATCAATATCATATGAGGAGGAGTTTGAGAAGTATGGTTATGGAGGATGTGTTTGTTGGGTATCATGTGAATACAACACGAAAGAAAATGTAGAGATCAAACAAGAAGACATTGAGCTTGGGAAGGACAGAGCTGTTGGGATGTATGAAGTTGTGGAAGCCTACCTCTTGGCGCACCCTTGTGCCTATACTTAAAGAGAGTTCTGTAATTGAATTTGGAGTTGTCCTATTTTTAATTCATAAACAGTCTCTTATTTTATTTTTCTGTCAAACTTGAATCAATATCTTATGAGGTGAAGTTTGAGAAATATGGTGATGCAGGATGTGTTTGAAAGATGTCATGTGAATACAACACAGTAAAGAATATAAAGTTCAAAAAAGAATACATTGACCTTAACAAGGACAGAGCTACTGGCATGTATGAAGTTGCGGAAGCCAACCTCTGCGTGCACCCGAGTTCTGTACTTAAACTGGAGTTGCTTTACCTGTAGTCTATTAACAGAGCTTGTCATTTGTTTGTTTATTTCTATTCCTTGGTTATTTTTAAAAAAAAATTCACCAGAAAAAAATCCGCATGATAATTAAGATTTACCTAAAATCGCATTATCTATTATTGTCATGTTGATTCTAAATTTGTCTCATAGCAGGTGTCATCTCTGATCGAATCTGTCACACCCCCACCCCGGATCACATAGGGTGGGTGGCGAACCGGCCACCAAGGCCTTAATCAACCAACCTTGTGCATAATAAATATAAAATACAACGAAAGACAGATAATAAAGTGATTCATTCTACTGACCTAGTGAATACCAAAGAAAAAAATTAAATATCACCAACATTATTACTAAATACATGTAAAACAGTAATTAAACCGTAAGATTCCCTACTCTCTAAACATCAGCAATATTGTTCCTAAAACAATTAAACATTTGTCTCAAAACTATAAAAGACATTTATTCTTGAAGACCTACAATAAAATAAATCTTTAACTCTTCTAATCCTTTGTCTATCCGGGGACTTATTCCTCCCTGATCCTCACCTAAAAAATGTTAAATGTTTGATGAGCACAAAGACCCGTGAATAGCAACCACCTCTAATAAGGTGTGAAAATAAATCTCACATATATATACAAAAATAAACTTTGTTATATACATAAGTACAACAAATTGTACCTCAATCCCTTCCACATAATCCTGTAAACAAAATGATCTCATGTTCATAAATAATTTTATTAAAGAAAAGACATTTAGAACTCAAACACTCACTCATTTTCATAAATAACTTTATAAATGAAAGACATTTATAACTCAAAACACTCACACACACATTCAGTTTCAAATATATTTGTCAAATCATGTTTGGTATCACTAGTCTGGTAACTGACCCCATCTCTTGTCATCACTAATCTGATGATTGGCTCCGTCTCTTGTTATCACTAGCTTAGTAACTGACCTCTATGTACACATCCATATACTAATCACGCCAGTATATAATCTCGTTACCATTTAAACCTGGTAACTCAGTCCCCTTTTCATAAAACATGATTTCAACACACACTAAAATCGTTGTTTTAGTCCCAACGCACACAAAATTTTCCTTTCATCACCAAAACACATATAAACAATGATATAAAATCATCTCATAAGTTTTTCAAATTCGCAGCTATAATAATTCACAATTACAAAACATTTAATTGCAACTCCAAACATCAACATATATCATATATATGAAATATCCACACACACGCACCTACAAGTTTAATATAAAAAAATCATCTCAAAAGAAATAGTAAATTACTCATCTTGANGAAATATCCACACACACGCACCCACAAGTTTAATATAAAAAAATCATCTCAAAAGAAATAGTAAACTACTCATCTTGATTCCCAAAATTCAATTCAAAGCACTATTTTCCAACCTAAATGCAATCACCACCTAATCCAAAATAACATATAACAATCAATTTCTATTGCTAACTTCATTATTTTGTGATTCTGTATTTAATTTTTATACTTCCTACCTATTGATATATACTTAATATATCTTTTACATATAAATATTCCTTCGAATACGAGTTAATAGGGTATGGAAGTATTCTGGACTGTTTAAAAAAAAAGTTTCTAAAGTTTTGGGGTCAAATTATAATTTTTAAAACTTTGAGGGTCAAAGTGTAATTTACTTAAAAACAAATTTTCTGTTTACGGGACTGCCATAAATTTTTCAAAATTCTACTATTGCAACTTATCAAGTAAAAAAGTGGTTAAAAAATAAGTTTAAAAAAATTTAGGGATCAAAATAAACTCTTTGAAATCAAAGGAATAGATGACATAATTCCTAGACTTGTCTTCATCAACCCACCAACCCTCCACGTTTTGCAACTTTAAAGAAAAGTCCAAACCCTTTTTTTTTTCAACCTATTAAACTCAATTAAATTTCAAATAACTATACACTCAAATTCAACTTAATATCTTCAAAATTATTTGTGTATTATATATATGAAATCTAACACCATGTGATATAATAAAACTCAAAAAATAAATAATGCATTCACATACCTTCAATGGATCCAACTCTTCCTTTTTCTTTTTTTTTTTTCCTTTTTCTTTCCTTCCTTCTCTCTCTCTCTCTCTCTCTCGCCCTTTCCCTCTTTCACATTTTTTTTTCTTTCTTCACCAGACTGGCTCTCCACAAATTTTCTCACCAAAATACCCTACAAACTTAAATATATTTTTATATATTTATAAGGGTTTAACCTATCTAACAATACTATCCTATTTAAACCACATGAATAAGAGTCTTAATAGGTTTCTTTAAGATATGACTTTTATCAGAGATATATTAGTCTTCTTTAATTATTTTTATCCTTTTATACATAATTATTCCTAGGTAGGCAATGTATCAAAATAATATAATAAAATTTTTTTTATGGGTAATTACAAAGTCACTGGAAGGCTCAATGCTAACGTCCTAAACAATTGATTTGAGCTCGGCATATCGCACATCACCTTGGGTCAAAGTTTGCTCACACACACGATTTCACTCATTTAAACCACCCATTGACATTTTCACTTGCTGTCAGATATATGGCAGAACAATAACTAGATAATCTATCGGATTATCAACCCAATGATTCCAGCTGCCAGTTATTATGTTTCCTGGCCCTTTATCCCTCCAATAAAGCTCATTCTCTTTGTCCACTGTGATTTAGATCTCATGGGTTTGAATCATAAAAATAGTCTCTTCATATGTGAAAATAAAGTTATATACATTTGATTATTTATCAAATCCCAACTCGCAATATTGAAAACCTCATAACTGTTTTATCCTGTATTAAAAATCTCAAAATCCACACAAGCAAGCCCGCTTAAAACTGACCTTATTTGGCAGCCGAAATGGTGTCCTATGTCCAGCCCATTTGATATTAGAACGAGCTTCCTTATCAGAAGCAAAGTTGCTGGTCACTGGGAGCATTTTGGCAAAGGTCCAAACTGATACAAGCCGCCCATGTGTCAAAAAACCTCTTTGGTTGAATCTGGTCTGCTTTTAGCAGTCGAAATGTTGTCCAATTTCCATGTCATAGTAGAACAAGATTCATTGTCATGGCAAGTCATTAATCATACTCGGTACACAAAGCTCACGCCCATAACGAGATTGGGAGAGATTAATAAAAGCAACATACCTCTATTTTGGAGACTATGGAACATTTTGGTTGAATAGTTGATTCCTTCAAAATTTCCCTTCCAATGTCCAAACTGGTAAACGCCGCCTGTGTAAAAAGCAGCTCTTTGGTTGAATACAACTTTTTACATTAGCTGGGAAAGTAAAGTCTATAAGCCACCATTGTTGAAGGCTTGAACATATCTTTTGACAAATAACTTCCTTTCTATCGAATGGTTTGATACCAAGGCTACCCAATTCTCAAACACAATCTATATAAACTGCAATGAGGCATTCACCATCTCACCAAATCAGTTTTTCACTCTCCACCCATCTTCCTAGGCATATTATCAAACATGGGTGTGACAACTTTTACGCAGGAATTCACATGCCCAATCGCTCCGGCACGAATGTTCAAGGCCTTGATCATAGAATCACACATCCTAATTCCAAAGCTCTTCCCACAATTCATCAAAAGTATTGACAAGATACAGGAAGATGGAGGATCTGGAAGCATCGAAAAGGTCAACTTCACAGAAGGTTAGCACACAATTACTTAATCCAATTCCTCAAATAATATGTGCATTGCCACAATCATGAGTGTAAATTTTGTCCAATTTGATATGCTAAATCCGAACTTAACTATTGACTTTAGATTCTTGACAAATATTTGCAAGTATTCGAGTCGAAATGTCAATAAAAAAGTTTGCACTTAAACCCTATGACTTTATTATCAACTCGAAATAGTCAATTTGAGAAAGAAATGTGCATAATGTGGAGCTATTGGAGTTGTTCATCTTTTAAATATGGAAACTAGAATTGTTTACGACAAAAACCCATTTGAACCTACTTAAATTAAGTCACATGTTGCTCAAATTTGGATTGTTTACAAGAAAATTTGATCATTTTTTTCTTTTTTTAGCAATTTGAAGTAGCAAAAACCAAGGTGAACTCGATCTGCTCGGATTGTTTAACAACGCTAAGCACAAATACCAACCTTGATCACATTTTGTTGGTCTCAATTTGCAGGTAATCATTTTAAATATGTGAAACACAGGATTGATGAGGTAGATGAAGAGAAATATGTGTGCAAATATGCTATGATTGAGGGTGATGCATTGGATGACAAGCTTGAATCCATTGATTATGAGATCAAGTTTGAAGCAGCTAGTGATGGGGGTTGCATCTGCAAGATGACAAGCAAATACAACACCATTGGAGAGGTTGAGCTCAAGGAAGAGGAAATAAAGTCTGGCAAGGACAGTGCCATGGGCATTTACAAAGTAGTTGAAGCCTACCTTTTGGAGAACCCTCATGTCTATGCTTAGCTTGTGTTTTACATTTTTGGGTTGGATTTTTTTTCTTCTTAAGGAGTGTTATCTCTCCATTCAGTTCTTTCAAAATTAAGTAAGTGTGCTATGAACTATGAATACAAAGGGAATTTATTCTATTCAAATAAATCCCGCATTAATATCTGTTGGGTGATTTAGTATTAAGATTTTGGGGGAGGGGGGAAATCATCTTAATGGCCTAATC